CTATAATATTTTACCAGAAAATGACTATGCACCACCCCAGGTAAATTGCTGATTATGCACAAAATAACTAATATGCCTGGCAGAAATTAAATATTCTTATTTCCTAAAAAAAATTATCATGGGGTGAAAAACTATGCTTAATTTAATATATATATTGTTGATTTCATAAGGATTGTCATTGTTTTCTTTAAATATAATACATTTTATTTCACTTACCCCCCACGAAAACACGATTTCAGCCATATTTTGCCGTCTTGTTTGCTTTTTATCGCCGAATCTCGCAAATATCATCCAGTTATTGTACTTTTACATAATCATAAATGGCTGCAGTAGATTTCAAAGAAGGTTTCATCCACTTTTGTAACAGTGCAGTGTATTTTACCTTCGATATTGTGTCCTTCGATATTCCGCCAAATTGCCGCCATTTTAATGGCTCGCCGCTTCTCTGTCTGATAAATGCAACTTCTTCGTTTCCATATGTATTTAGATTACAGTATCCAAGAGTACTTCATTGTAGAGTAGTCCCAATCGAAAAATTGGCAACATTTGTCCCATTAGGAAGGAAAAATCCTCCCGTATACCATTTAGGTTCAAAATAAAAAACAAATCATTTGAAAGTCACGCGCAATCTTCGCAAAAACTTCTCGTGGACACATGACAGGGGGGGAATATTTTCACGAATATATTCGCCACCACAGAAACATAACTAAATATATTGTATTTATTGTATTTTTATGATTTATAATAAAAACAATAAATATTTGTGTAGTTTTGTCATAAATCATAAAAATACAATAAATACAAAATATTTAGTTATGTTTCTGTACATGGTGGCGAACATATTCGTGAAAATATTCACCCCCCTGTCATGTGCCCACGAGAAGTTTTCGCGAAGATTGCGCGTGACTTTTAAATGATTTGTTTTCTATTTTGAACCTAAATGGTATACGGGAGGATTTTTCCTTCCTAATGGGACAAATGTTGCCAATTTTTCGATTGGGACCACTCTACAATGAAGTACTCTTGGATACTGTAATCTAAATACATATGGAAACGAAGAAGTTGCATTTATCAGACAGAGAAGCGGCGAGCCATTAAAATGACGGCAATTTGGCGGAATATCGAAGGACACAATATCGAAGGTAAAATACACTGCACTGTTACAAAAGTGGATGAAACCTTCTTGAAATCTTCTTCAGCCATTTATGATTATGTAAAAGTACAATAACTGGATGATATTTGCGAGATTCGGCGATAAAAGCAAACAAGACGGCAAAATATGGCTGAAATCGTGTTTTCGTGGGGGGTAAGTGAAATAAAATGTATTATATTTAAAGAAAACAATGACAATCCTTATGAAATCAACAATATTTATATTAAATTAAGCATAGTTTTTCACCCCATGATAATTTTTTTAGGAAATAAGAATATTTAATTTCTGCCAGGCATATTAGTTATTTTGTGCATAATCAGCAATTTACCTGGGGTGGTGCATAGTCATTTTCTGGTAAAATATTATACTTAGACAAATTTTTCCTTCCAATGACCACCCCTAAAAGCAACCCTTCTAAACACTATAAGCACTTCAGAAAGGCTATCGCTTTTCCTTTTCTGAAGTTAGAGCTATGTCGACACTGCCGTTTCAGGGCGGGGTCATTTTCAGGACTTTCGTCCCGGATTCAGGTTTTCGCACATATGCCATGTTGACCGCCATGGTCATTTTACCCTAAAACAGTTGAGATTACCTGTCCTAAATGAATCGCATACAAACTCATATACAGGTCCTAGACTATAAATAATGTATAAAACATTATTATTCTCTGAAAAAATAGCTAGATAATAACAGTTAGATATAATTTTGGAGAGCATAAAGAGAAACTAAATGTTATATTAGTGGGTCTATTGGAAAAAGAAATATCTCAGTTCTACTTAGCGGCGAATATTAAAAAGGATATCCGGAGTCGAGCGTCTATTTAAATTGCTTGGCAAGCACTTTTAGAACTCAATCAAACAAATAAAATAATTGATTCCTTATACCATTTTATGCCTATCCGACCTAGCCATTATTTGAAACTCCATTTTAAGTTTTCTCCGTTTCGTTGGTCTACTGGCTGTCCATTGTGTCTGCAGTTAATTAGGACTATTTTGGATCTATCATACAAAAACTCAGGTAGACTACCATAAATTGGAAACCAGGTTTGAAACATCAAAAATAATTACTAAATAATAATTTACAGAGACGATTGAACTTAATTTCACTAAAATCCTTTGTTTCATTAACAAATCAAATTACGAGACATATCATGGTATTTTATATGCAATAATTAATATTTACACGATTGTGTCGTCTTGACAACAGCGGAAGAGAATGCCAAAACCACCCCTTGTTTTATCTTGTCTTCAATTTATTGTTATAAAATTTCTCGTTTCCATAGGCCGAGATGGACGTGACAGCATTGTTCCAGGTACAGCAAATTTAAGAGAATTAAATTAAATGACTTTCGGATTAGTGAGTATCAAACGATCGTATCACCAGGGGCGCTAGAACAGACAGTGTAACATTATAATTTCCAGAGTTAACACTTTAACTTTTCAGAACGTTAACAGTTTTTATAATAGAGCTGCCAGAATATATAACTCCCTACCACCACATATTCGAGAAGTAAGCGTTATACTGTCGGCCAATTCAAATCTCACCTTTTGACTTATTTAGAGGCAATGACTAAACAAATACATAACATTAATGCTCCACAAACGTTTAAAAGTATCTGTGTCAGGTGTAACTCGTGTCGTCTGTTGTCCAGTCTTGTGGATAAGACGTGTTGTAAATAATGTAATGTTTTTTATATACATATTAAAAGGGACACTGTAAATGGAGCAATAAGCTCTGTATAGGGTTAAAACTGCAGGATATAAACTAAACTGGAATTCAGACAATTAGAACATTTATAGTAACTGCAAGGAAATAGCTCTACGGCAAAGGAGGAAATGAGAGAAGCAAACACAATTATCGACATTTCCTTATAATATGAAAACAAACGTAAACGATCAAGTGTCTATTTCTTTTTTTAGACAGCCCATTTAGATATGATTTCAGATTACTGGATGAAATAACTTTACGCATTTCATTTAGGACCACCAGGAAAAACTGGACCTAGAGGATTTCGGGGTAAACCAGGACCAGGAGGGAGTTCTGGAGGATCAGTGTATACAAGATGGGGTAGGAAGAGCTGTCGTAGTGGGACTACGCTGTTATATTCGGGTGCGTATATGACTCGCTGTCAATATATAAACGTTTAGATTTTTAATCCAGTTATGAAATCCAAGGTGGTAAAATTTGTGTGGCTAACTTGAGCAGCAAAACCGAGGAAAAACTTTAAGGCCGATTTACACGGAACAATTTCTTGCTTAAAACTGTCCCATGCAACCTACTTACAACTTCAGTTATATTGTGTGAATCAAGTTACGACAATATAGGCAAGCAATGTGCTTTATTTACACATTATAACTCAACTTCAGTAAACAGGTTGCATGCCAGAGTTTTGAAGCAAAAGTTGTGTAGAGTAAATCGGTTTTTAGACGTCAGGCCCATGAAATCAAGAACAAAGAGAAATACATTCGTGTGCGAAACATGAAAATCGTACTTTGATTCTTTTCTTCACGATCACAGTATTGCTTTCGTCTTGCAGGTGTAATGGGTGGCTCGCACTACACTCATAGCGGTGGTGGTTCAAAGACTATCAGTGGCAACCAAGGTTATTCCTATGTATATGGAATTGAATACGAAATGAATGTACACGCACCTCTTTTCCCGAAAAATCTTCACGACCATGAAGCATTATGCGCCGTGTGCTTTGCTGAGACACGTGGTAGTCAAGTGATGATTCCTGCTCGCAACGTCTGCCCGAAAGGTTGGACCCGAGAGTACAACGGTTACTTAATGTCGGCACACATTTCCCATAAACGAAGTGAGTTTATTTGTGTAGATGGTGCCCCAGAAGCTAGACAAGGAACTCAAGCAAACCTAAGCGGTGGTTTGTTGTATGTGGTCGAGGGTCATTGTGGTGCTTTGCCATGTCTACCATATAAACAAGGTGCGGAATTGACATGCGCAGTTTGCACCAAGTAATCAGCATTCAACATTTTCATGATTTATTAAACTTTGTTTTAATTGACGAAATATGTTATTAACTTCATTATGTTTTCATTATTCCATTGCAATTAATTCTTAATAAACGGTTTGTCAACTTCTTTTGGCAAATATTATATATATTTTTTTCTGTGTTGGTGTTGTGTACTCAGGTGAATATGATGTTTGTGGTGTTACTCTGGTGTTATCCAAAGGTCGTAGGTTCAATTCCCACCGTGGCCGGGCATATTTTTCAAGCATGCCCGATGTGGATATACAATCAGAGTAACACCACAAACATCATATTCACCCGAGTACACAACACCAACACAGAAAAAATCATATTACAAAGATTACACTGTTATCGAAGGAACTAGATTCTGTTCCGAAATGTCACTTACTCGAACCGTCCCGACCGCGTAGCTCAGTTGGCAGAGCATTGGGCTAGTATTCCAAAGGTCGTAGGTTCGATTCCCACCGTGGCCGGGCATATTTTTCAAGCTCGCCCGGTGTGGATATACACTCAGAGTAACACCACAAACAAAATATTATATTATTATTTCTTGATTTCTTCTTGTATTTGATTATGTTTGCCCCAAGAGGAGACAGCACTTTTTTATTAGGACACTTTTTTATCTCTTTTACATCAACTGTTGGTCGTAATTACAGTTATTATATATTCAAAGTCTATTCTTGTTTGTGGTTGGTCAAAACGCATCCGATAATTTAGTTATTTCAGGTGCTGACGCAATCAGCGTGCAATAATACTTTTTTGGACCGACGTTCGGTCCAAAATAAGCATTATTTTACTTTAAATAAGCTTTATTAGCATGACCTCAAAAAATTTACAGGTACTGCTAGAAGATTTTTTACAATAACAGTTAAGGATATATAAAAAATAAAGTTTTATCTATTTAGAAGTTTTGAATTATAGTGTATTGAAGATATATCACTCTGTTCGTGATGTTGTAGAGTTTCTGTTTTCAATGCATCCATTTCGTCTTATGAAACAACTATGACTGAATTTTGAAATTTCATTCTGCAGTATAGAATCACTAGATGACATGAAGAATAAAACATCATCATGGCATTCTGGGTTCAACGCAAAATTTCTTTGTATTTTCTCAATAAAAATATTTCTAATTTGAGCATTAAATTTTGCATGAAAGGATGAAATGGTCTTCGTCTTCAATTTTACCAGATTCATAAAATTCGCAAATTTTTTCCTCACGAGTAATGTTTTGATAGCGACCACATTCAATGCGTAGTTTATGGCAGCTTATACGAAATTTGCTAAGTGTTGTTCGTTACGGTTGGTTTATTGCTATGAGGTAGTCTTCTAATTGATAATAAATTCGTTTTTAAACCTGCTGTAGAAAGATAGCTTGGATGAGTTATTCAAGTTGTGTTGCCAGAAAGTCGTGTATTTACTTTTGGCAATATCTAGATACGATTGTATATGCGAGTTACTTAAGAGCTCTAGCTCATGCAGATCATTTGTTTGTACTGTATATGTCTTAAGTATGTGCATTGCGTTGGAGTAAAAGTTTGGTTTATTATTTAGATATAGATCTTTGGATATAAGAAAAGCTTGTTTTGCTAACGAGACGTCAGGGAGAGAGTTAATATGGATAATGTATTTCATTAGTCTCTTTAATATGGGGAGTAGAAGTGGAAATTTATCCAAATCACCTCAGCAAGCTTGGTTAGTTGCCTTGTGATTTACTCCAAGATATGTTTTACAAAATTTTAAGTGATTTTTTTTCAGTGGGGGATTGGTCCCATTTTCGAAAATGATGGTTGATAAAAGTACCCTATATTTCTGAGTTATATAAAAGGATAGGTGAAATTATGCTATCAAATATTTTGATTGCTAAGTTTGGAGAGAGTTTGTTTGCTTATATCCAGTTTTTTTCTGGTGGCATTAATAGCACGGTGAGCTTTTTCAGCAAGCTGTTTGGCAGCTAAAGTAAATTTTCCATTGGGCGTTAGTTTCAGCCCTAGGTAATTGTATTCACGTGTCACTTGGAGGGTTTTGTTTTCAAGATAGAAATTTGGGATGGGTTGTTTATTTGATGGTCTTTGAAAGATCATGACCTTGGTTTTTTCAGGTTAACCTTCATCATCCACTTTTTACACTAGCTACTTGGCTGGTTTAAGCAATGTTGGAAGCCAACTTTGGATCTAGATCTGGATAAGATGACAAGATGATCTGCATATAGCAGACAATTTAGTTTTGTACTGTTGGGTAGAAAAAAAGGGTCAGAAAGCACGTTTTCAAATAAGGGAGGTAAATCATTTAAAAAGAGATTAAAAAGTAAAGGGCTTAGGATGCATCCTCGGCGTACTCCTTTGAAGTATGGAAAAAAAGATGTACTGTGGTTAGACAGCACATTTGGAGTTTTTAGAAATTACCAAAGATGTTATTCCTGAATAATTTTAAAAAAATTCCTTCATGCTATACAGAATCGAAAGCTTTTTTAAAGTCGACAAAACATGTATAAAGTCGTCCGTTGTCTCTGCATAAAATATTTGTCAGTTAGGGATTTAATTGTAAGTATATGGTCAGTTGTTCGATCTGTGACCTGGTAAGAATCCAATTTATGATGGGTGTAATGTATTGTTATCTCTTGTGAAATCAAACAGTCTCTGATTAAGAATGAGACAAAAGAATTTCCCCAGGCAACTCGAAAAGCAAATTCCTCGGAGTAGGCTGATTACTTTTTTTAAGCTTTTTGGCCGCGTATTTTATTTCTGATATTGATATTGGTAGCTCTAAAGTTTTGTGTGATTGTAGATTCCGTTTGTCTGTGTTTAATTCATCAGGTAAGTTTTATTGATCTTTATCTAAGTTAGGTTTCGAGTGCAGATTTTTTGAAATATGAATAACATTGTTCCTCGGATATAGTGCACCATCACATGTTTTGAGTAACTTCCAAAATTTATTTGGGCGTTTTTTGGTTGCTATTTCAATTTCATTTAATTTTTGTTGGTGAAATTCAGCTTTCGTTAATTTTAGGGTGTTTTTGTAATCTTCCAGAATATCATGGTATTCATTTCTAATGTCTATATTTGATGGGTCCCTATGTTTTCTATTTGCTGCTTTTCGAAGTGTCTGTCTTTTGATTCGACATTCTTTATTAAACTATTTTTATTGGCTGAGTTATTGGTCTTGTATCGTCGTTTTGTTTTCTTAATCTTAATGATTTTTGAGCTAGCATCTATGATGATAGTTTGGAGTTCATTTTAACAGTTATTAACTCCATTATCATCAATAGTGTAATCGTTGTTTAATAAATTTTGAATTTTTTGTTGGATTTCTGGGGACCTAAGGCTATCTGTATAAGCCCTGTGTGAGGTATTCTCCCATATGAATTGGCTCGGGAGTTTATGAGAGAAATCAGAGTTGTTGTTAGTTTTTGTATTAATTGGTTTTCTGATGTTGAGCCATGTTATTATCTGAATATGTCATGTAAAACATTGACTTGTAAAACATGGACTTGAAAAACATGGACTTGTAAACCATGGACTTGTAGAACATGGACTTGTAAAACATGGATTTGTAAAACATGGACTTGATCTTCGAGCGAATTTATTATCGATGATACGTTTCCAAACTGTGTAATGACCCATGCTCCAATCTAGATGATTTGGTGAAACATTATGATAATACGCTATCACATATTTTGGAGAAACATGCCCCTTTACAAAGAAAAATAGTGGTTGTCAGACCAAGAGTACCATGGTTCAGTGAAGAACTTAAACGTATTAAGGCCAAACGCAGAAAACTGGAGAAAGTAATGCTACGATCAAATTGCCAAAATGATAAAGACGCTTATCGCCAAGCGCGTAACAAGTATGCTACCAGTTTGAAAAATGCTAAACATAAATACTATTCTGATCTTATCGATCAATGCTCGGGAGATTCAAGAAAACTTTTTAAGGTTGTGTCTTCACTTTGCAACACACCTCAAGAAAACTCCTTGCCTCCACATGATGATTCACGTAAACTGGCTGATGAGTTCGGAAAATATTTCTGTCGAAAGATTGAGCTAATTAGAAATGACATTGAAAACGTTGTAGTAGACCCACCATTAGTAGATTATCGTTTACCTGATATCAAATTAGACTCATTTGAGCTCCTGTCAGAAGAAGAAGTCCATAACATAATCATGAAGTCGTCGAATGCAACATGTAACCTTGATCCTATCCCAACATGGCTGCTGAAATTATGTGCCAGTGAGTTAACACCTGTCATTATGAAAATGATCAACTTGTCGTTAAGTGAAGGTCACGTCCCAGAAGCATGGAAAGTTGCCATTCTTATTCCAATTCCAAAAAAATACGGTCTTGATCTAGTCTTTGAGAACTTCAGGCCCGTCAGTAACCTGTCATTCGTTTCTAAAGCTACGGAAAAAGCAGTTGTTAGCCAGTTATTTGAGCATTGTGCTGATAATGCTCCTCTTCCTAACAACCAATCGTCATATCTTCAATTTCACTCTACCGAAACAGCTCTCCTAAGAGTCCACAATGATATCCTTATGAACATGGACCAACAGAAAGTAACTCTTTTAGTGCTCTTGGATTTGAGTGCCGCCTTTGACACCATTGATCATGAAATTCTGATGGATATATTGAAGTTAGAATTTGGTGTAATCGGAAATGCCTTAAAGTGGATTAAGTCGTTTCTTTCCTGTAGAAAGCAGCGTATTAATATTAAGCAAAAGTTTTCCGCCAATTTTACGTTGAACTGTGGAGTACCACAAGGAAGCTGTCTTGGACCGGTCCTTTTCCTATTATACGTGTCTCAACTGTTCCAGATTATTAACAGACACTTACCTTCTTCCCATGGGTATGCAGATGACACTCAACTTTATTTATCTTTCCGTCCTGAGTCACCCGTTGTCCAAGACCAAGCTATTCAAACTATTACTAATTGCATCGTCGAAGTTCGTGCTTGGTTAGTTTCACATAAATTAATGTTCAATGACACTAAAACGGAATTCTTGATAATTGGAACTCGCCAGCAGCTGTCTAAGGTTACAATCGACTCGATTGAAGTTGGTGATGCTGATATAAAACCTGTGCAAGAAGTCCGAAATCTAGGTTCGTGGTTTGACGAACATATGTCGATGAATGTCCATGTGGGCAAGGTTTGCAGCAAAGCATTTAGGGGCTTGTACAACATCCGACAAATAAGGAAGTTTCTCTCCATCGAATCAACTAAAACTCTCGTACATGCCTTTGTGACGTCACACTTGGACTACTGCAATTCTCTCTTGTTCGGCATTCCCCAATACCAACTTCAGCGTCTTCAACGAGTTCTCAATGCCGCTGCTAGAGTGACGTGTCTTGTACCAAGATGTGTTCATATTACCCCTGTCCTGATGCACCTTCACTGGCTGCCTGTCAAGTTTCGCGTTGATTTTAAAATTGCACTTCTGGTATATAAAGCTCTCCACGGGATGGCGCCAGGCTACATTATGGAACTGTTGTTAGAAAAACCGAACTGCTGTTATCAACTGAGATCTGATGATCAGGGACTACTTTTTATCCCAAAAACTAGAGCCAAGACTCTTGGTGATCGAGCATTTGTGCATGCAGCTCCGTCAATTTGGAACATGCTACCTTCTGGTATTAGAAATAGTAAAACAATTGACTGTTTTAAATCTCAATTAAAGACTTTCCTTTTTAAGAAAGCTTTCGATTCTAACTTTTAGATTTATAGACACCTATACCTTAATTCTTAATATTTTAGCTACTTGTATATAGTATAACTTCATTGTTGTAAAGCGCTTTGGAATATTTTATATAATTTAAGCCCTGTATAAATCTTTATATATTATTATTATTATTATTATGTACACCTATATATATACATGAGAAACAGATAAAAATACACGAATTATTCTGCTGTGCTCGTTTCCCCTGCCCCCACCTTATTTTGCCCCCGGAATTGGACAGGCAATAACGAAGTCAATATAATTTAATTCTTCTTCCATATCTATGTTTTATGCAAGTTTTTGATATTTTGAAAAATGGCAGTTGAATTTGAATTCCAATTGCTCCGATAATATTGCACGGATAATTAAATGTTTTTGTTTTTTTTCTGTGTTGGTTTAGTGTACTCAGGTGAATATGATATTTGTGGTGTTACTCTGAGTGTATATCCACACCGGGCGAGCTTGAAAAATATGCCCGGCCACGGTGGGATTCGAACCTACGACCTTTGGAATACTAGCCCAATGCTCTTCCAACTGAGCTACGCGGTCAGGACGGTTCGAGTAAGTGATATTTCGGAACAGAATCTAGTTCCTTCGATACCAATGTATTCTAGTAATATGAATTTTTTTCTGTGTTGGTGTAGTGTACTCAGGTGAATATGATATTTGTGGTGTTACTCTGAGTCTATATCCACACCGGGCGAGCTTGAAAAATATGCCCGGCCACGGTGGGATTCGAACCTACGACCTTTGGAATACTAGCCCAAGTATTCCAAAGGTCGTAGGTTCGAATCCC